GTAACAAGAACTCCACCAGCCCAAATCACCCAACTAGTGCCACAAGATACTAGAACACTAAGCAATGCACTAGAGGCTCTCCAATCTCACTCAAGATGATGAAATCAAGTGTGCAAGTGAGTGGAGTGGTGTGCTTAGCTCTCAAAAGGTGTATGCAACTGTTAGAAGTGCCAAGAGAGTGGTTAAGGCCGGCCACTAGCTCTATTTATAAGCCCACAAGCAAATAGAGCCGTTACCCTTTTGGACCAGCTTTTTGTGAGGGCACTGAACACGGCGGTGCCTAGCACCGGACATGGCGATGCCCTTCCCAATGATCACTTTCCAATGGCTAAAAAACTAGCCATTGGGGTACCAGACAGGGTGGCGGTGACCACCCGGCCATCTGCCCAAATACCCCTCTCTGGATTTTTATGTTGGTGCACCACCCTTAGGGCGGCGGTGCCCACGGCAATGACCAACCCCATTTCACCAGTCTCTAGAAGAAAATGGTGGTGGCACCGCCCTCCTCACGACGATGACCGGGCGATGATGCCGCCCTTAGGGTGGCGGTGCACACCGGACACACCGGTGCCCACTTCACTTCTCCCGAGTCTCGGCCATGTCCAGTGGGCACCGCCCTAGGGGTGGCGGTGCCACCAGACACACAGTGGCGGTGCCCTAGGGCAACTCGCTGCTCTCGGCCTCCTAGCCGATCACCGCCACAGGGGTGGTGGTGCACCGGACAAGGGGTGGCGGTGCCCCTGTGGCAGCACCCCAAGCCGAGTTTCGCCTCCTTTTCTTCACCTTTCTCACCACCTTTACAAATGTGCTAACACCATAAGTGTTTCACCATCGCGTGCAAGTGTGTTAGCATTTTTACAATCATTTTTCAAAGGTTAAACATTTCTCACCGATTGTGCGCTAGGCCTAAAATGCATATGCATGTTTTCCCACATCTAGTGGCACTAGATGATCGAGTTGTCCGATAAGAGCTCTCATCTTAATAGTACGACCATTTATACTAAATGTGATCACACTCTCTATAGTGTCTCGATCACCGAAAACAAAATGGCCCTATAAATTTTACCTTTGCCTTGAGCCCATTTTGTTTTCCTCTTTCTTCTTTTCCAAGTCCAGAGCTTGATCACCTTCATCACATGTCCACCAACAACACCATTGACTTCATCTTGCTCCACCACTTGGATTGGACTACCTTATCTAATCATACACTTAGATGCAAAGATTAGTCCAACTAGGTTTCATCAATTATCCAAAACCAAACTAGGGCTTTAAGACGATGATGTCACCTTATCTTAGTTGGTTCTGATGGCAACCCAGTTAGCCGATTTTGTTGAATATCTCGGCTTTCCTTTGTTGGTTCTTGAAACTCAGGGTTGAACCAAATTTTGGTGTCAACAGTTGTAGTGCTACTATTTTCGATGTTGCAGCACATAGTTTTTTATGTTGCAGCACATAATTTTTTGTTGCAGTACATATTTTTGATGTTGCAGTATATGTTTTTTCGATGTTGCACTACATATTTTGCGATGTTGCAGTACATGATTTTCGATGTTGCAACACATATTTTTAATGTTTTAGTACATATATTTTTTTGATGTTGCAGTACATGTTTTTTAATGTTGCACTACATATTTTTGCAATCTTGCAGTATTTATATCCCGATGTTGCACTACATAGCTTTTCCATATGTTTGCAATGTTACACTTGAAATGTTTCGTGCTCTTTTGGGACAGGGGCGCGGTGGGGTAACGGGGTGCGTTAGGGAACGGGGACAGAGGCGCTGTGGGGAGCGGAGGACAGGGGCGGGTTCCATTCTATTCCGTTCTATACCCGGGGGCTGGCGGGTTCCGTTCTATTCCGCGCGGGTGGGGTGGGCGGGTTTGGGAAGGGGACCGGCGTCTGGACGCACTCGCGCGCCGGACGTCCAGGCGCTAGAATTGCCCTTTCTAGATACGTATCTTTTGCTATGCATTTAGATGTGCACTATGTCTAGACATATAGTAAAAATAATATATTAAAAATCCAAAACATCTTATTATTTGGAATAGATTGAGTACGTAGTAAAGTCTAATAGTTTGATAACCAAATAATAAGCATACTATTCAAACTTTATGTGCTCAACCATTTCCACTCTCTAGTAGGGCATAATTTTCATAGACCAAGTACAGAAGGTTACCCTTTGAAAGAAAAATATAGCTCAAAGAATACACCACATCTATCTATAACTATAACCTACCTCATGATGCCTTGCAAGCAACAACTTTGTGTCCCTTTATATATCATTTTATAGATCAACCATAGTATCGAGAAAACACAAGCTAATCAAAATTATGCAAGTTAGCATGATATAACACAACAACCACAAATTGATAAAAATAAGAAGTGGTTCTATTTTCAATTAAATCATCTTTCATACATTGATAAATGAGATAATAGTGAAGGAACTGGTTTGATTTGTGATGTGTTGCTGAGACTTGAGAGGCTACCATAGGTATGATAGGGTACGAGTAAAGTATACACAGAGAGGCACAGGACCGATGGCAACTGATATGAGTCTGAAAAATAAGAGACCGTACTCTTATCTGAACTATATAATAACTAGTTAGATGACGGATTTAGCTCCGAACTAAAATTCCAAAATTACTGTCTACATATCCTGTACTTGATCCACGGAACACATTTTTGGATGTCATACAACGCTATCGCGCGACCCATCGCGCGACCCCAGGTAAACGCGCGCCCAGCAGGCTGCTGTCGTTGGCTGTTCACGACAGGGCTATAAGCCAGTGACAGGTTGTTGGACCCACTCCCCCCTCCCTCCCCTCTTTTGGAATCTTTTCACTGTAGCTGCATGCATGCTGACGCAAGCTAATTAAAAGGCAAGATATTTTATTTAAATTGCTATCACTTTAAAATGATACTTCTGCTTTCAATTCCGTTTGCACCGTATATTATACGTGAAGAGGCGAACAAAATTAGGCCCTTGTTTAGTTCCTTCAAACTTCTGAAAAGTGCACTATGTAAAAAGAAGATTCTCCATCACATTAAACTTGCGGTACATGCATGGGGTACTAAATGTAGACGAAATCAAAAACTAATTACACAGTTTGCTTTAACTTTGCGAGACGAATTTTTTGAGCCTAATTAGTCAATATTTGGATAATAATTCACAAATACAAACAAAATACTACAGTAGGAAATCTTCACTATGCAAAGTTTGCCTGCTAAACACCCCCTAGACCCCTCTTGCCTATGTTTCGAAGAATTTTATTTTATAGCAATTTATGTGTAAAAATAAGGTAGAAGATTTATGAAAGAAGTTGCTACCATATAAAACAAAACTTGCTACTAAAAAAAATTCAAAAGTTTTTACGTGGTATGCACATTGATTGTTACCATGGGAATATAAAAAAATTGTTATATAGTGTTTACATAAAGATACTAACCCCTAAAGATAGTAGCGGATCAAAATAAGACAAGTTGCTACCTAGAGGAGCAAATTATTAAAATAAATATTACATAAGCTGCTAATTAGAGAGGCAAGTTATTATACAACAGAATAAAAAATCTAGCAATTGTGACTTGCTGGCAACTGAGGATATTTATTAAAAACAAAGGTAGCAGCACAAAACAAAACAAGCTACAACCTGAGGGCAAATTATTAGAACAACTATATGAGCCATTATATGAGTCAGGAAACATGACTTGTGCCCAACTGAAGGCATTTATTACAAGAGCCAGGAAACATGACTCGCTGTAAATTGAAATTGAAATTAGCAAACAAAAAATTTAACTGAAACAAAAAAAAATTAACTGAAACTAACAAATAGAAACTGAAAACTAACGAAGAGAAAATGAAAAAAACCACCAAAACTGAAATTACAAAGAAAAGAAACTGAAATTGACAAAAAAATAAAACTAAAATTAACAAATAGAAAAAGAAAAATAAAGTAGATAAAATGAAAGAAAAAATAAAAAGAAAACTGAAACTATGGGACAGAGAGAGGTTTAGGGTGTGTTTGGTTGAGTTGTGGCTGTGGAAAAAAGCTGCTGTAGGCTGTGAGTTGTAGAAAAGCTAAAAATTGTTTAGTTAAACAAGTATAAAATATACCTTCTATCTTTATCTCTCTTAAAACAACTATGAAATTTTTTTTTATTCCACCAATTTTGAAAAGTAGAAAGCCAAAAACCAAAAACAGAGTCAAACTAGTTTTCAAAAATATACTACGAAAAACAGCTGCTTCTTAAAAAACTACCTCCAAAAATAGCCTCTTTAATTGAGTTTTTAGCTTTTAAAGAAAAACCAAAACCAAAAACCCAACCAAACGACCCTCAACTGGATGACCCTCAACTGGATTGGCTCGTCGAGGCCTAATCCTGCGACGTCCAAGGCCTGGTAGCGCAAAAATAAAATTTCAGACAAGGTGTTGGTGTTGTGGGGAGGCACTACTACTAGGATCAACTAGGCTGGCCCATCACGGCCTGATGCTGCGCCAACGCAGTCCTGGGGTCGCCCGAAAAGGTGCGAGCGCGACATGTCGTGATTAAAACTTTCCGTTTTCATTAGCGTTATTTATTAATTTTATTTAATCAGCGTGTTCGTTGGTTGGTTTCTGAGCTGATTTGGACTAACTGGTGCTGATTTATTGTGAGAGAAAAACACTATTAACTGACTAATTTGAGCTGATTAAAACCGACCAGCGAACATGGTGAATAATAATAAGAAGAAGAAGAAAGAAGAGGAAAAACATGTTTCTTTTTTTTTTTTGAAAAAGAGGAAGAACAGGTTTCCATTGGGCCTTTTGGGCTGTCGTCTTTTCCTAACCCGAATCGCGCCGCCGCACACACACAGCGGCCAGCGCATGACCCAAGTGAGAGCGTGAAGCGGGGGAGCAAGCAGCGCAGCGCAGAGTGCCGGCCGTCGGCTAAGCGGGAGGCGAAGGCGAGGATGATGGGGTCGCGCCAGTGGCAGTCTCCGGCTGGCGCTCCTGCGGCCGCCGATGCCGTGGAGGAGGACACCGGCGGCGTCGGGGGCCCGTCCAGGCGGCCGCTGCGCCACGGGTTGCACCGCGCGTCGCCCTACGGGGGTGCCCCGCCGGTGGCTCCCCAAGGTCCCCGTGGCTTCGAGGATATTCCCCACCATGCCACGCGACCGCGCCGCCTCCGGTGATTCCCCTCACTGACCTCGTTGTCTTGCGCCTCTGCTAACGGCTGATGCCCGTTTGCGGAAGAGGATCAAATGGGGAAACTCTGCGACGTCTTACCTATTCTGTTAGCGAGGTTGTCGCCATTGGCGAATGAGTTCACTGTAGCTCGCGATTTGTTTCAGATCAGTGCTAGTCTATCTAGGGTTTAGGGTTAAGCGCCTCTGCAGCTCATGCCACTTTACTCTTTGCATTGCATCAATCTCCAACCTAGGGTTTGATGTGGTAGGTTTGAAGAAGTTATCCGGTGCCTGCTTTTCTGAATCCACTAGTGGACTCATGATCAAGCGTGGCAAAAGTCTACCAACTGGCAACTGATGGGATTTAGTTAAGCCCTTTATGTGATAAACTATTTGTTTTGGATTTCGGGTTGCTGTGGTTTGTGATCGTTCAATTTATTGGTTATGCTCTTTGGAATGGGCATACTAGTTGATGTCTAGTGAACTTGAGGTCAATTTTGGGGTTCCCAATCCTTGTTAGTGTAAGGGCCTATTTGAATGGACTAGAACTAACAACTAGTCCTATTAGCTCCTATATGTGGACTAATGGACTAACAACCAGTCCATGACTAGGAGACTAACAATTAGTCTGTCTATTTGGATTATTAGGGACTAAAAATTAGTCAACTAGTTGTTGTCCTATGGATCCAAACAGGGCCTAAGGATGTACTGGTGTCCATCTGGTATTATAGGATCATGGGAGTAACAAGAGTAGTTTTAGTGAATAACTATTATATAATCTTAAATTTATATATGACCTCATTATTTATTTCAGTTCTTTGCTATAGGGGAGTAGTTTCTTAGCAGCACTCCCATCTGTATTGCTGTTATATTTTTTACGCATCTATGAAAAATGAAATTATGGTCATGTGATGTATTTGTCGGTTATCATGTAGATCGATCATACTTGACGAGTTTCCATATAGCCTCCAATCATGCACAGTGTTCAATGTGGATTACATAATGCCATAATGGTGTTTTGAATGTATGCAGACAATGATCAAGAGGTTCATCGTGAATCACTGGAAGTTATTCAGGAAGTAAGCAAAGTTACTTATCTTGGAAATGCTTATTTTCTTTGATTTATTGAAGTACATTTTTTCTGTCTATGGAGTCTATTTTTAATATGTGTTGTTATGTCACTTCAAACAAAATGCTGCAGCTGTCAGAGGCACATGTAATCACACCAGATAACTTTTGTTAGTACAGTTTGTGGACAATCATTTTGCACTCAGAACTTTAAAATAGTTAGCACAAGAAGATGCCCTATTAAACTCCCTTCTTTTAGTCTGTTACTGTTGAAAACGTAGATCATATTGCTGATCTATATTGGCTGACTGCTTAATAGCATGCCTCAGATGTTGCAATGGTGCCTATATTCCCTATGCATATCTTGCACTTTTGATTTTATTATAGCAATGCTTTCAAGTTCATAAATGGTGGATCTAGAAGGATAATGATTGCTAACCATATTCTATTTTGCCTTTTGTGTTACTTATGAACTGCAAGATTTTTTTTATCAGTTTCTACCTTGTTTTTCTACGTTTTCTCCATTTATTTCCCAGTCAAGATATATCTGTGCGTGAATGTTGTCTTTAATCTCTCACTCGGTAATATAAACTGTAGAGACACTCCACACGACCAAACATCAATGCTGCAGCCATTCTACCACCAAGATCTGTTAGCAATACGTTCAATCTGCTTCTGGAAGGTGACAGGAATCCAAGTCATGGTAATGGGCTTGCTGACATTGAGAACATAATCAACCAGAGATATTTTTCTAGGCAGGTTTTTCTGTACCTCCTGTGTTTTGACTGTTATGTTATATTTTTTTTTTTGAGTTCATTGAAGTTGCTTCTATCTTTTGAAAGGTAGAGTAATGAACTTTGTAACTTCCCTTTGATTGCTTAATTTGTTATCCAAATACACCCTCTGATTGAAATTGTAAATCAGTTTATGATATGTATTGGTAAAATTATATAAAATAATTATGTAGATTGAAAATATAAAATTGATACTACTAGATCCATGATTAAAAGGGCTTCTGAATTTTTTAGTTCTTTTACCTGAAATAATATAATGCCGAAGAATCACTAGTCAAAGTGGTGTTGGAGATCGTATCAATGCCCCAAGCTTACCTTTCCCCCAAAAGTAAAACCCCTGGGGGAAAATGTAGGGCACAGTGGGTGAGTGGGAATTGGATTTTAATGACAAATTGTTGACACAGGTGTTGTTATCAAAGGATTTTACATGCAAATGTCATATCATGCACATTGCTTTTTTTTATATTATTTTACTTCTTTCGATTGACTGCCATAACTGGAGTCATCACACATCACGTGGAGAAGGATTTATGTCTATATTGGACAACATTTGTGGCTGCCCAGTATTTCTTGAGTTTATTGTGCATTTAGGTTTGGAACTTCAGATCCCTGTGACCCTTTTTGGTCTTATACAGGGATGAGACACTACATCTTATAGAGATCATACGGTCAAGGACTCTTGATTTTGGTGTTGAAGGCCAGAGACCTCCAGTATCTACTGCAAAAGGTTTTGAAACAGCATCATTTTCAACACCTGCCAAACTGATTGAGGATCAGCCATCTTGGAGGACCGATGTCGTTCCATCATCCAATGTAAGAATGACTTAACTGTGCAATATCCACTCATGATTACTTATCTGTACAGAGCATATTGGTGGATACCTGCTGATCCTGGTGCCTTTGTTATTTCTATGTGATGTGAATCCTGCCTATATGCTTTTGAAGTTCAAGTATGCTTGTAGCTGAGTAATAGCTTTCTGATCTCTGTGTAATTTAAAAAATTGATTCAAACATTTTAATCTCCCTCCCTCCCTCCCATAGCACCAGAGGGTGTGCTGGTCAGCTGGAGACTGGAGAGTTATATATGCACAGTGCTTAAGCAATACAAAAATAATCCTTCGGGTTTTTTGCTTGATTTGTTGTTTTCTCTTATCTTATGCTTTATTGTCATTCTAGGTGCATGAAATTGGTTCTTCACCGATTGAAATTGCAAAAGCTTATATGGAAGCACAGACCTCAGCTTCCGTACATGAGTACAAAAAACGGAAATTCAGAGCTTTGAGTCATGGAGTTGAGGATGACAATTTGACATCAGAAGTTTTCCCTACAATAACTACTGATTCTTCTGTATGCTTGCCTGGTTCAGTTGTTCGAGGTTGCCCCAATTATCTTACACCACAAAGTAATAAAGGAAGGACTCTGCCTCAGCCTCTTTCTCGCACACCATACAATAGATCAGTTTTTCGAAGATCTATTAAGGTTGCTATTGACTTCTTTGCAATTGATTTGTATTCTAAGCTATGCAATGTTTCTTATTTGTCATCAACTGTGTCTATCACTATGTACTAGCATTCAAATATTACCTTTGGGAGCTAAAAGGTTTCATGCTTCTGTAACTACAGAACAGCAGGCATGGTGATACATACAATAATGGACAGACAATTTTCCACTCCATTTTCCCGTCCATTTTGCAACAGATTTTCATCATGAAGTATTCGAAATTCGTTTATCCATAGAAACCACACAGATACAAGGTGGAAGACCATCTATTGCATTATTTGTACACCTATGTATACACAAATCAGTGCACAGTAGATCCTTGTGTAGAAACTAACCACCTGTACCAACTGTTTTTTTTATAGAAGTAAAGATAAATTTGATGTATTTTACTCTTATCATGATACACACTTGTCTCTTTTGCTTCATGAAAATAAGAAACTTGGACAGATTTAAGTCCACATAACTATTATATGTTGGAACTATTTGTGCATGTTTGTAATAACTAATCAATTTTATTCTGCCTTGTACGTGATTGAGTGATATTGTTCTCCGTTTGAAAGGTTGTAAAACCTGATTATATTTGACTATAAGTAATTCCTGCAATTATTGCACAACATCCCCAAAAACTTTGAACAACGACCGACAACTGAAAATCAATTATAACTGTGCTTGCTATGTTTAGACCTTAAAAGTGCCGTCACATGGAAAAAAAATTAATGTAAAGATGTTGTACGGGCATCTGTGCCTTTTTGTCTGATAATATTCTTATTTGCTTTATAGACAATACTAGAGGATAAACATGCATCAACAAGTGGTGGTATGGTGCAGCCTTCATCTTCCAGGGGACAGATAGATGTTTTTGGTTCTATTCCAAGAGAAGGTTCTGCCGCAATGAAGAATGTTGCATTCAACTTGCAAGGGTCAGATGACAAAAGCATGACAGAAAGTAGAGCAACTTTTGGACGTGCTTCAGGTGTAGATAATATCTCCAGGGGTGCTTCAGTATCTGTTCATCCCAAGTCAAGCGAAACAGCTTTCAAAATACTTAAGCAACTTGACAGAACTATTCCTTCCCCTACATCAAAGCCACTAGGGCTGAGACAGACATTGGCCAAGAGAAATACTTCTTCTGTTGCCACCAATGGACAGATCAAAGGGCCTGATTTCAGTATCGGTAATGGTAGTAAACAGAGCAGCATTAATGAGAGTGGCAGTCCTAACTCGGAGACTACATATGGAAAGAAGGTATACTCCCATTTGAATTTTCTAGCATAATATACTGTACTACTGTTTACTAATTGTACATGTTATAAGGGCAATGAAAGTTTTTTAGTGATCTTGCCAGTAGGTACTCTGAATCTTGTTTGAACGTAAAATCAATTGTATTCATGCACTACTGAATTACTGAAAATTTGTTATATGCACTTCTAATTGTTGTATTACAATGCAAAACAATGTTTTTTTTTTTTCCTGAAATTTTCTCCTGATCACTTATTTTAGTTTGTTCTCTACTGCTATTTTCAGTTGATCATCACTGCAGATTGGATCAGTTAATCAATTTAGCAGATCCCTGGTAGCATCAAGCTATGGATACTCCACTAATCAGTTGGTTGTGTTTCACCTTGTGTAGGTTCAGCAACCTCAAAGCCGTCCTATTGCAGAAGAGTCAAGTGAAAAAGTCCAGAGAAGCGGAGCTAACTCAGATGTTTCTGAAGCAGGCACTTCTCAGCAGCCTCTGAAATCAAACTTAACACCCACTTCAGTTGCCGAGGTCTTGGATAATAAAAACACTAGGAAAGGTTTCAGCTTCACATTTCCTATTCCTAAAGCTCCAAGTTCTCTACTTGAACCGCCACCTACACCAACCATGGCTTCACCACCAAGGACCCTTCCAATCACTAATGAAGATATTCCCAAATTCACCTTTGGCTCATCAAGTACAGCCAACAAACTCGTTTTCTCCTTCAACTTCACAAGCAGTTCTCTTGGTGCTGGCGCAACAGACCCAACCTTCAAATTTGGATCTGATAATAAGCGAGAGCTTGTGTTTTGATATAGTTGTCAAAGATGCAGTTTGTTTTTGACCTTCGGATCTGAATTCAACCACTCTTTCTATTTTTGGTGTGTCGATGAAAGACGCCTTTAGAAAGTTGGAGTGTGCTACTTGAGCTATATACATGAGGACATTCGTTTCATTTATCAGTATATTCAAACTTTTTTTATATATTTTAGGCGTTCTTCATTGGCAGGATATTTCCCCAGTGGTTTGCACCCGTGGCTGTCATTGGGCATCAGTCCTTTTGGTCTATAATTTAGAAGCTTTCATAGCTGAATGGAGTTCCACCATCCTTTCAGTCCAAGGTATGTGATATGCCACTGCTGATATAATTCGTTGAAGAGCGCTGCTTTCTTGGCAAAGCGTGCTTGAAACTGCGCATTTTTGACGCATGAATGCACCAGCCGGTTTCTGATAACCAAAAGGCACGAGGAGGATGACCTGGTTGCTAAAGACAGGAGTCGAGTCCGAGTCATGAAAACGACGGATTGATGCAGAAACATTTGCCTGATTGCATCACATACACAGCACAGGCTGGACAAGCCTGGACTGATTGATGTCGCCACTGAACCGAAAGCATTGTGAAATGTTGCCCAAATAACGGTGCCATACACGTAACCGGGCCCGTGTGGATATCTGGATTATATTTCGTAGCTTCTTGAAGAAGGCTCCACACATCAAACAGGGCACTGACCAAATTTTCACCAACACATCGTGCTAGACGCGTCGGTTGTTGGAAGAACTGAAGAACGGGGAAAGAGTCTAGTCTGTCAGTCCGTGCATTATTTTGTTCTTCCCTGCACTGCAGGTTCTATAATTGAGCATTGAAGGAAGCATCAGATCGTCCGATTAGCTACGTTTCACCAACTAGTATTTACTAATACGGAAAAATTGGTTCCGCAGCATTGGAAGGTTGTGACCTCTGTAAAATACTTAATCCATTTTAAATTATAAGACGTTTGACTTTTTTTGACACAAGTTTGACCATCCATCTTATTCAAAAATTTGTGTAAAATATCACTTCTTTCGTCGTGGTTTGGTTTATTAATAAAAATTCTTCGAGAATGACTTAAATTTGACTATATTTACACAAATTTTTTTGAATAAGACGAGTGGTCAAATTTAGATCCAAAAAAGTCAAACGTCTTATAATTTGGGATGGAGTAGTACCATCGAAAGATTTGGACCCCGTAAAATATCACTGAAAGTTGCCACTATGAACTGAAAATACCATTCCGTCAGTTTTTAACTGCTGAGCCCTTAAATGAGATCAAAATACTCCAAATCAATGAAACTTGAATATATGAACCCAGCACATATGAACAGATAATTAAGCACCTGACTTCATCCACGTATTAACAGCACATAAATACAGATTCATCCAGCACCATTTTTACCATTTAACACATACACAATGAAAGCATTTAGGCCTCTAGTTGGGTTTCGGTGATTAATGACAATACGAGATTACTATGACTAACGTGTGTTTTGTAGAGTCAATTAAGTTAGGTCATGATAATGATAATTGATTGGGCAATCATGGTTGTCATGCCCCTAGATGGAAATCATTTCGGTTTTTAAAGGATGGACGACAAGGTTAAGGATGAACTAGTTCTAAGTGTCGTTTGGTGTTGAAAAGACACTTAGAGTAGTTTAGACTTTGTTTTTCCTTTGGCCGTACTATTAAGGGAGTATAGACTAGTAGCTTGACCTAGGTGAGTCTAGTGGGTTAGGTGTGTTGCATACTTATCAAATTTAGCACTAGGTAGCTCCGAAGTAGCCCTAAGATCAATTGGAACAAACTTCATTCACATATGATTTCGAGTTAGAAGTGAATGGAGGGTCAAATGTTGACCGGACGCTGGTCCGGTTGTGACCGGACGCTGATAGTAGAGTCCGGTCAGTTCATTTGATCAAGGAGAAGTCGTCTGGTTGCGACCGGACGCTGAGAGAAAAGTGACCGGATGCTGGGTGCCAGAGTCTGGTCAACTCGAGTAAGGTTCCAGATAGGGAGAATCCTAATCGGATGCGTCCGGTTAGTGCTGACCGGACGCTGGTCAGGATATGGTTACTGACCGAACGCTGAACAGCAAAGTGACCGGACTCTGCGCGCCAGCGTCCGGTTAACATCAGTAAGGGTCCAGAGAGCAGTTTTTGTGACCGGACACGTCTGGTCAGTGCTGACCGAACGTAGGTCAGAGTCCGGTCACAACTTAACGGCTCTATGACGGGGATAACTGACCGGAGCGTCCGGTCACCCCGCAGAACGCTGACGCAACCTCCTAACGGTTCGTTTTGAATGAGGGAATATAAATACTTCCTCTATTCATCCAATGGAGGTCTCTTTCCCATTTGATCAGCTGAGAAACACCCTTGAGAGTACTTTGGAGAGCAAGAACCTAGTGAGGTGATTGAGATATGAGAATCCAAGATTAAGGCCTCATTAGTGCAAGGAGAGTAGCAAGTGTGCATCCACCCTTCTCATTAGGCTTGTTGTGGTCAAGTGAGAGTTCGTGACTGTTACTCTTGTTGATCGCCATCACCTAGACAGCTTGGTGGTGATCGAAAGTTTGGTGATCATCCGGCGGAGCTTGTGCATGACCCAACTCAAGTTGTGAGCGGTTGTGGGTGATTCACCGTGATAGAGTGTCGAAGAATCAACCCGTAGAGAGCACTTGATCCTTGCGCGGATCAAGGGGGAGTTACACCCTTGCGCAGGTGCTCCAACGAGGACTAGTGGGTAGTGGCGACTCTCCGATACCTCAACAAAATATCGCCGCTGCGTTCCTTCTTCTCTCTTTACTTTGAGCATTTATTTCTGAGCAATTCAATTCTTGTCTTTACATTCTTAGAATTGCCATGCTAGAGTAGGATTGGAACTTAGGGTGCTAAACTTTTATGCGGTAGATCATTAGAATCACATTCTAGGCACAAGGGGTGAAGTGGGCTAAGTGTAGGGTTTAATTATTGCAAAGAATTTTAGAATTAGCCCAATTCACCCTCCTTTTGGGCATCTTGATCCTTTCAATTGGTATCGAAGCCTCGTGCTCACATATTTAGGCTTAACCGTCTAGAGAAAGATGTCCCACAGAGATGGACCTCCTCCTATCTTTGAGGGAGATGATTTTTCTTATTGGAAAATTCGCATGGACGCATATTTAGAAGCTCTAGATGTTGGAATTCTTAGAGCCGCCTCTCAAGGTTTCCCAAAACCTAGGGATCCCACACACCTTCAAGGTGATGAAGTAAATTATGAAAAATGGAATGCAAAGGCTAGAAACACCATCTTTAGAGGTCTTTGCAAAGATGTGTTTAATCGTGTGCGGAACCACAAGGACTCCCATGCACTATGGTCGGAACATTTGTGCGCTCCATGAGGGAACAAAGAGTGAGCGTGAGGAACGCTATCATCTCGTCATAAAAAAGCTTAATTCTTTTGAGATGCTTTCTAAAGAAAATGCTAATAAGATGTACTCACGCTTAAATGTTCTTGTACAGGAAGTCAATGGGTTTGGACTTACACAAATGCAACCATCCGATGTTGTAAGAAAGATCTTGAGTGTCCTCCTCATTGACAAATATGGGCATATTATGATCGTGCTTTATCAAGGTGATCTTTCCACCGCTACACCAACTCAAATCTTGGGAAAGATCAACACTCATGAGATATATATGCACATCACACCACAAGATAACTCTTCCTCTACCAAGAAGAAAGACAAAGACTTGACATTCAAGGCTAGCCAAGAGAAGGACAAAGCAAGAGTTGAATATGAGAGCTCAAGTGATGATGAAATTGATGATGCAAGTCTTGCTCTCATGGTGAGAAGAACCGCCAAGATGCTAAAGAAGCTCAACAAGAACGGTGTCAAGTTTGATGGTAAGAAAAAGAAGTTCTTCACTAGCAATAGAAGGAAGCTAATCTTAGAGATGGATTGCTACAATTGTGGAGAACTTGGTCATCTAGCTCATCAATGCCCCAAGCCCAAGAAAGACAAGTACAAGAAGAAGTACAAGGGCAAGAAAGATGACTCAAGTGATAAAGATAATGATGAGAAGAAGAAAAACAAGCCATACAAGAAGAAGGATGGCAAGAAGAAGGATTTTCATAAGAAGAAAAAGAATGGCAAGACATACATCATCGGTGATTGGCTCACGGATATTGATTTATTAAGTTGCTCATCCGATGATGATAGTGAAAATGAGAAGGTGGCCGCTATTGTGATTGATTCTTCATCATCTTCACCGACACCACCTCCATCATCCTCTACACACCTATGCCTTATGGCCAAGGGTGAACGAAAGGTATCAAATAATGATGAAAGTAGTGGTGATGAACATGCTTGCAATGATGATAGTGATAGTGATGATGATGAATTTAAATCACCTTCATATGATGATCTTGTTAAATTGCTAAATCAATACACTAAGATCATTAGAAAGTTAAGAGCTAAGAATGAAAAGCTAAAACTTAAGAATGATTCTCTTTTAGCTAAATATGACATAGCGGAAAATACTAGTGTTGAGCTTAGAGAAGCAAATGATGCTATGTCATCCAAACTCAAGGAGCTCAAATCTTCTATGAAAGAGCTTAAAGATAAATATGATAAACTTGAGAGGATACATAATGAGCTCATCACTAGCTATAAAATGCTAAAAGAAGAATATACAAATCTCAAGATCAATTATGATAATCTTGTTATCTCTTATGAGTTTTTATCCAACGAGCCACATGATGCTACTAACTATGTTGTTAAGATTGATATAGCTATATCATGTGATGATTTGATTATTGAGAGCATTGAGCAAGGTTCTAGTAGCAAATGCAAGCAAGTGGTTGAGTCCGATAACTATGATGAGTATGTCAAGATCAAGAATGAGAATGAGAAGCTAAAGAAAGATCTTGAGAAGCTTTCAACCACCAACACCATTGTGATAGAGAACCTTGACCATGATAGTGATCTAGCTCTTGAGAATGAGAAGCTTAAAGAAGAGAA